CTGGTCAGCTCACCAGGTGAAAATAAAGGAAAAATGCAGCCACATCTAAGAATTGGTAAAATATTTTGATAGGCTTTAAAGTAAGACCGCATAACATTTATGTATATTTAAAGTCCAACGAAACGAAAACATTTTGATTTTAAATGGAGTGAAGAGGGATTAGGACAGCTGTCTACGAATAGAGGGGGAATCTTCCAATGGGCACACTAGTTCTAGTGACACTGCTGACCACCAGGGATTTCCCTCACATTTCTCTCGCTTCCTGTTGTGACTATTAGAAAGGAAGTGAAGGGAAATCATCCCAACGGGACACAGACGACAATAAAAATGACAGGAGTCATAACCATCCTTTCTTTATTCAAAACTAAAAAAAATAGAAGAACTCAAGGCAGAAACAAAACCGTTGCAGTGGGGCTTCCACCGAACTGCAAGGGTTAACTGCTCTTTTTGGTCAAGGGTGCAGGGGCGTATCTGCCGCGAGGCAAACAAGGTGTTTGCCTGGAGCGGCAGATTCCCTGAGAGCGGCACTTGCTGTGGTTTTGTAAAAAAAGATATACTCACGCAAATCTCAGACCCGCCAGGCTGCTAGACCAGTCCTTGATGCTCAGCAAAGCTGGCCCCCCTACAATCTGCACAAATAAAAACTCCAGTGTGTTTCTTTAGTGCCATAAAAATGAACATTTGTGCTGCTTTTATTTTTAAACTATTTATTAGAGGTCACCCAGCCCCCCTACAACAGCCAAAAGACATGAAACCGGGCTGGCTGGTAAGTGCCACGTTTATGCTGTATAAAGTTGTAAGATAATAGCAATTTTCTTTTTAAGATGATGAAAAGATATGACACCAGGCTGATAGGTTAGAGCCATGGGGTGCAAAGTAGGTGGGGTTTGATCGAATAAAAACAAACTGTTATAAACCATAAAAAAAGCAAAACAGCACAAATAAAAATGTAAGCAGCACAAATCCAGCACTAACCAACCAGCCAAGTTCATGCTTTTGTAGGGGGCTGGGTGACCTTTAACCACTTGCCGTCCGCCTGTTATAAATAAACGGACGGACGGCAAGGTCCTATCAGCAGGGCGCGCGCCCGAGCAGAACACACTGATAGGTGTAAAGCGCCGGTAATGGCTTTGACACATACAAGCGATCATCGGCTCTATACCCATCCGATAGCTTGTATGTGCTGCCCTGCAGTGTGAGCCCCCCCTTCAGTGCCTGCC